ACCCAGCGGAGAGGCTGCTACTGAAACCCCACAGACGAGTGCCAAGGTGCTGAGATTCCCAGGTGGCACCAAGTGGGCAGGAGACTAAAAATGGAAAACCTGCGGTAAACAAAATAAATAGAACCACTGAAAAATAATGAGGGGAAAAAAAAAAAAAAGGGTAAGTTACAAATTTAGGGAGGGTAGCAAAATGAGCGGGTTGTTTCTGAAGACCTGAGCTCTCTGGAGTTCTTTACTTTGCCTTAACTCAGTGTCACCTCGCAGGGAAAGCACTGAAAATTAGCTAGGAGAAATGGAGACAGAGACAACCTTGAGTCTCTCAGCTTCCATTTAAAAAAAAAAAAGAAGACAGAGTGAAAATTGTTATAGTCACCAAGAAAAACATGGCAGCGTAGCGAGTGCACCAGAAACAGAGCTGGCTTCTTGGGTTTGCCAAGTGCCTGAGACAATATTTCTGAAGCGTGAACTGCTCATTCATTTCAGGAGCTGCTAACACCAAGGCCGTTGCTGGCAATGGCCTTGGTATTAACCATTTCTCTGCTCCCCAGAGCATGTAAAGAGGAAAAGAATTGTATTTTGGAGACAGCACTAATGCCTTCTCTTATTAAGTGTTCCATCCTGAAATGTACTTATTACCCACAACATTTAATGAAGTTAGTAGGAATTAAGGGATGCAAGAATAGCTGCTTCACATGACCACAGTTTTTACTTAGTTTTCTGAGCTCCTTAGAAGAAGATAAACAACTTTTCTTTCTCAAAGTTAGTATTTTTCAAAGACCAAATCCCCCCCAAAAGGGAAAATCCTTATTATAAAGATCATGCGTGTACGTGACATTAAGCAAAATCCAAGGTAATTCATATTCAGGGTTAGAAACCCAAGATGACAACCAGTACAGGACCTCAAGAAAAACCAGCCCATCGCTGTGAGCCACTTTCTCATTAACATGCAAACACTAAATCCAGAGGTTCAGCTGGAGCTGCTTCCATTATATGTGGTTTTTTATTTTAAGATTTGTAGGCTTACAAGAATGGAAATTAGATTATGTAAAGGAACAGTATTGTCACTGATTAGGGCATGGCTGGCATTCGCAGGGTTGCATTTCTGCTTGCCAGCCCTCAGTGAGCTGGGAGAACAGCAATGTTTCTTAAATTCAATACCCGATGAAGGTCCAGGATGGTCTAAAACGATGCGGTGATATCTACAGAGCAAGACGAATTAATGGGAAAGTTTGACTACACTCGAACTAGCAAACAGCCCAGGGTCAGGGCCCATTCTCTGGCTCTAAATCCAGCCGGGATGGTCTGGCCACAGCTGTAATATTGAATCCTTTTAGCCTCCACAACAGGGCGGCTGCCTCCGAGCTGCCCACGGGAATGTGTTTGGGATTCTGCTCATTTCCAAACCATGGCTGGGACCTGCTCGGGAGCGTGCTGGCCAACCCCACTCAAAACCAACCTCGCTGACAATTTAACAATACCGGTGTTTAACAGCCCAGGCCCTACCACTGTGTAATTTATTGGTAAAGATACTCCTTTCTGGCCATTTTAGTTCAGAGGGATGGGTCTGCAAACTTCTTTTGTTTAGAGGCTGAGCACAGCGCATCCCTCATCTATCTCAGCGTGTCCCTCATCTGTCTCAGCATGTCCCTATCCAATGACACAGTAAATATAAACATAGCAAAATCCACCCTGCACGCTGTGGGGACTCCAGCGCGTGGGATGGGAGAGTTTGGGCATGGTGGCACGAGGCCAGCATCCCCAACCGTCAACTACCTGCAAAGAGTGCGAGCCCGGGACTGGAAAAGGTAGGTTTGGTGATTTGTCCTGCTATTTAGATTCAGTTTTAATTTTCTCCTTTGTCATATGGGCATTCGTCAAACACAGTTGTGTAGGACAGGCTCTTCCACATCCAGCACTGAACGTGTTCATATTAGACTTGCAGGGCAGGTCTTCCAGCATCTTAAGACCTTGACCCCGCAAACCTCTCAAAGGTGAAGCAAAAAGCAAGAGACTAGCACTTGGGCAGAAAGGTAAGGAGGTCCAGGAAAAGCGTAGGGGAAGAAGTCGTCTCCCCAATTCCCTTCTCAGTAGTCTCAACAAAATTAAATTCAAGCACAAACTCTGCAATTGCAGAGCAGGTAGAGGTCAGGGTGAGGCAGACCACGGCAGGGTTAAACAGGACTGAAGTGTAACAAGGCTGTGATATGGATATGTTTATGGGACAGTTAAATCATCTCTTAAATCACCTCACCAAAGGCAGACTATCAGATCAGACGTGCCTATACCTGAACTACTCACCTAGGCTCGCTTTAAAGCCCGTGGAGACAAACAGGCTCTTCCAAGGCACTGCCAGGGACCAGTACAGCTCATCTGCAGACTGGTCAAGTCCTGCAAATGCCAATTTGTCCCCACTGACTCAAAAGGGAGCTGAGGGTGACTGTCTCAGATACGGGTGTCTACCCTGGGGACATCTATACCCATACCTCCTTCACCTGCTGCAGAGCAGCCCTCTTGTGACTGCAGGAACAACCTGACCTGTACTCCCTGCTCTGAACCTTGCATGTGCTGAGGACTTGCTGGATCAGTCCCAAAGCTTTATGTAAAACGGCTGTGATGTGTATTTATATGAATCATATACATTAATTACATAATAAACACTCATGCTCCCCATCCCACATGCACTTTGGTTGTGCACAGGACACAAAGACTGAGTGCATTCACTATGAATCACGCAATAAGACTACGTCCCTTGGGCAAAACTCTCTCTAAAATGACCATATACATATATTCCCATGGTTTCCACTACAGTATTATTTAATTAAGAATATTAATCTGCTAGGCCACCAACTTTCACTGTCTTCTGGGGAAGTCTGAGCAGACAGATATTTTAATAAAATATGGGGAATCCTGCTCTTTTATGACTGAGTTGGTGCAATAAGGTAAGTCAATTGCATGGCCTTGTGAGCTTATTTTTTATTTACTCTTGATATGAACATCAGACTTATGCACCAGAGAGATCATTGGTTCAAAAGTTGCATGAGTGATGCCAGATAATCTTTTTTTGCTTTGCTTTTCAGCTATTGCTGTTGAATACTGCCCAAATATGCGTGACACATCATTAATTAGTTGTACGACACTGCAAATACAGCACTGATCCCCATTTGGAGAATAAAAGGTGAATACTTGAAGTTTGACAGCCCTGGGCATGCATTTGCACGTGCCTGCAGCATGCATGCAAACATTTCAGTTGTGCACAGAAATCAGTCTAGACACTGACATGACCAGTTCAGCCACATTACACCAGCCTGCCGGAATAACTCCTCAGGGTTGCAGCCTGCTGCCCTTTTCCCCTCTCCCATGGGACGGAGAACTGCATGAACTGCTATGGCAGTCCCCTCGTCACTTCCTTTCCTACAGCTCCAAACCTCTTTTGATCCTCCACCTAATCTGTGATGGAAACACAGTCATCCTCACCACCAAGAGATGTACCCATCCCAGGATGGGGAGGAACATCATCGTCTTGGCCATGGATGTGTTTCTGGTCATGGGAGCACCATCAAAAATAGCTCTTGAGGGCTGCCACTAAGAAGACAACCAGGAACCACTCTTTTGAAGGGCACATTGCTTTATTAGATGGTATATTTTCAACGTCTGGGTGAGCACAACCCACGCAGTGGTCTAGGCAGAGCCATGCAGGCCTGTGGAAGGGCTGGGTGATGTGAAATTGTGGCAGGTAGGAAGTCCTGTGCCTGTAGGTGTGACATCCAAGGCCTAAGGGGGAAGTTTTACCCATTTTTCCTCCTGCATGATGTTAAGCAACAGGCAGTAAATATGGCATTCATTAAAATTACCTTGTATACTTTTAACAGCCTTGATAATCAGATTTCTGCCACTGTATCGGAAAGCAAAGTTTGTTTTTATTCAAGGCCTTGTAAAACTCTAATTTCTCCCTCATGCACTGGAGGTGCCTGAAGTTTTCTAACATTTTTAGTGTTTCTTAGCAGTCATTTTTTTTCCCCCATCAAAGCTCTATTCTCCTCTGAAAGATGTATCAAGTAACTGAGTGGAGATTCACGCTTCTCCGTGTGCGAGGGATAAACTGCTGTAAGGGGCAGATTTAAACTTGCATATCTCTCTCTACTTTATACACAAAAGGGGTCGGATCCCGCCCTCCCTGCCTGTGGCACTGCTAGGTAGAAACCCTTGAGAGGAACTGCAGGGTTTGCAGCTGGGGCTGCAACATGCCTCCTTGCAGCCTGAGCATCAGAGCTCGTCCTCCACCCAGGAACGCCGCGCTGTATTTCTGAACGTCAGCAAACACTGCAGACAACCTCTGGCGCTTGTGGAAGATCAAAGTCCCCTTTTTTCAATCTTGAATCTAACTGGAAGCAAGATCCTCACGCTGGGAAAAGGTAAGAGCATTGCGGGGGCATCGATCGAGCCCCCAGAAGATGAAGGGCAAGAAGCATGAAGGCAACCGACCGTAGAGTACAGCAGCGAAGTTCAGTCCGCGGCCACATAATGCACACAGCCAGGTCTTTTAGTCATTCTGCCTGTGCCCACATGCCAGGCACTCGGGTCTGAATACACACAGACAAGCAAGGGCTGCAGGGCAAGTATGCGGCGGTACAGCTGCCGCGGTCCCAGCCGAGCCTCTCCTGGAGGTATTGCTGGGGGCACAATTGCAAAAATAACCCATTCGACAACACAGGCCATCAGGAGGCTCCAACTCAAAGGGAACCTGTTTCGGGCCAAACAAAGCATTTCCTCAGCATCAAGCCCGTCAAGTTTTTTGAACGAAGTCAGCGCATTGCACGGAGAGCCCGCAGGAACCTGCTCCACTACCCTCCAACCCTCGGCCCACATGGAGATGTTTGGCATCTCTGAGAAGGCAGAGCGCGCTAGGACCGCAGAGTTTTTTGCAGCTGTTTGTTTGAGAAACAAAGCTTCCCTCCTCCAAGATGAAAGAAATCAAGGAGTCTACACTAATCAAATCCTACACGCCTGCTGGCTGAAGTTCAGCTTGTCGGCGATGCAGCTCAGTGGAGTGATCAACATTTCCAGCACTATGAGCTTGGTGGAAGGGGAAAACACGACAGCAAGAAATTCACCTGGCTGCGAGTCAAACAGGTGTATGGCAGCAGCATCCAAGATTATAATAATATCTTGCAAACATGCAAAAAATAGATGTAATAAGACTGATTCTTTGGTTTTCATTAATGAATCATAAAGGCTTTCTTTACATTACACATGCTTTTTTGGCATACGCTGCTAATATTTCCACACTTGCAAGGTTGGAGTTTTAATACTGAGCCTCCCTCCCCTAAGGTTCCTCATTTTTGGCAAGATATACAAGGTGACTGTGTGCCATGACAGGCTCTATCTTACTTTGGGGCAATCAGATTACTTCACACAGATGGTTTTATCACTGAGACCATTAGAGATGAATTGCACAGTATGTAAATGTACATTTGTTTGATAAAAAAAAAAGTCTCAGTTCCTCGCTGCTGTCTTGTCTATGTTTCTAAATGTATTTCCTCTCTCCTGCATCATTCCACAGCACAATTTGTCCAATCTTTACCCTAAAGTGACTCAGCTAGTTTCTGATAGGCATCTTAAGTACACATTAGCTAAGGAAATACGCTTTCTTGAGCTACTGGATTGCAATGCGGGAGAATGAACCTTAGCCTTAACTATTGAAGTAATAAAGGCATCTATCTGTCAGGATGCCTAACATCACACACACCACAAAAGTAAAGCACCAAAAAATAGAGAATATCGCAATTACTTTAAAACATGCAAGTAAACATCCTCTTGTAGGGGAAAAAAGAAAGAGAGAATTTGTTCATAGAATCAGGTTCACAATTAAAAAGTAGTCTGATCTGAAATGGACCTAGAGACACTCAAATAACACATGCTCAGAGCAACACAGCAGCTCTTCCACTTCGAAAAAAAAGGGACTTTGACCCCCGCCCGCCGTGCAATAACCCTGTTATCACCGACTGAGCTTTGCTCTTCTTATTAAGGTTTGTCTGAGGCCATGGAGGCAGCCTCTGCCAGTCCTGTTCCCATCTGCATAATTGCTTTAGGCAAAACACGGTCTTTACCTGAGAGGCGTCTGGGCACATCGGTGATGGCTGGAAGTCCTGTGCCTCGAGTGGAGGACAGGGGAGTTGTGGAGTGAATGGACGGTGAAGTCATCTGGCTCAAGTAGGATGGGTAAGACTGGTCATAGGACCATGGCGGGGATGACTGCGCCTGCCTGGGGTCTAGGGAAAAAAAAAAAGAATTTTTTTTAAAAAGGAAGAAAAACTGTAGGGCATCAACAGCCTAACTGAAGGAAGTGGGATTACTGAACGTACACACACCAGTGCTATAAGGAATGAGAATGCAATGAAACACGACCTGCTCCTCTAGAACTCAACCCCTTCAAGTCTCACTCTCCCTCCCCATAACAATTTTTTGGGGGAAACGAACGGAGCAGTGAGCAGAGTTTTAAAAGACCTAGCAGCCGTGCTGCAAATTCCTGACGTCTAACAGCATGTTATACCAGGACTTGCCAGTCCTCGTGGATTCAGACAGATAAGCAGACCATAAGTACGAGACCCAGGTCTGAGCTTAGGAAGTGGACTTCAGAGGTGGGGAGACTCTACCGTCAGCACTTGGCACGCCTGTCAAGTTGTTATCCAGTTCAAACATTACACAGTAGTGTTTTCAGTGCTGAAAATACTATCCAAGAAGGAAAATGTCATTAATCTTATCAGCATCCGTCCAAAAATGTCACATTTGGATGCTGGCCCAATTACCTACAGTCACCTCAATTACAACAATATGAAGCCAAATGGTTGGGAATAACTATCGGAAGCTAACAACGCCTTTTGATGTACTTGCTACAGCTTACTACGGAGGAAATGATTTTAAGGATAAATACAGTTTATTTTTTGCTGGAGCTCTGGTGGATTGCACCAAGTGAGAGACAGGGAGACCTAGTTTTACTCACTGGTGCTTGGATTTATAAACCATTTGCTCTCAGTTAATATCTGGTGATAAAGATACCACTGAATGCCTCATAAATTATTATTTTTATTTCTTTACATTGATAAAAACAAAGCACTTTCCACCTCAACATTTGTTTTGGGCACTGCACGATAAACAGAAAACTGTCTCTGAACTGGCTCATAGAAATTGTAGCACATCCCTCCAAATCCTCCCCAATATTTTCAGTGAAGCACATCGGGTCCACTCAATCTGGAGAACCTGCTATATCAGAGCACTGTGCTAAGGCCTACTTTCTAGACGGCAATGTGATAGCCACATGGCATAAGCAAAGGCACTTTTTCAGGAAATTCAACTTTTTTTTTTCTTTTTTTAACTCCTTTCCCTGCTCTTCCACACAGCAAAACCTTGTAGTTTCAGCTATTCCTTGTTTATTTTTTCTGTTCAGACATGATTTGTTTGAAGAGATGTCTGGAAAGCAGATACTTCCTTGAAGCAAAATAACTATATAGATATATAAACCCCCCCCCAACTTTCCAATTTAATTTTAAGAGGATTTTCCTGGAGTTCGCCATTTATATTAGAGCTGAGTAATATAAATGGTTAACATAAATTCCTCAGAAATCCGAAGGACACTTGATCATTAAATGTAATGAACTTCTTTGTTTTAACAGTTTCAAGGCTAGGGTTGTATAGATTGGCACAGGTTCAAATCTGACTGACTGCTCGTTGTTATATCTGATATCGACATATTTCTCTGCCTCATTCCACTACTATAATTCACCATTCAGTCAATGGTAAATGATCTTCAACTGGGAACGGAAAGCCTAGGCTTGCTGGGAAAACAATCCTAAAATTAATGATGTGTCAGGAGCACAATCTCAAATCTGAGCTCCTTCAAACTCCAAGAGCTTTTCAATCTCTGCTTCCGAATCCAAAACACAGTCCCTTAATGTTTTGGTTTTAGGTCAGCTCCAATGCTGGAAGGAAATTATATAGCAGGTAAAGACCAGGAAAAAAAATCACGACAGAGGATGTTTTCACAGGATTTTGGTCTAAGATGGTGAAAACCTCAGGAAAGAAGCTGCCTTCTGGAGGTTCATGCCACTTCTCATAGTGCAATCCTCATGGCATGAGATCTTGAGCACCTCTGGCACCCTCACCACTTTGAACACCCATGCTAGACTTGGTTTTACACCTAACATCCTTAATCCAACAAGTGTGAATGCCTTTGTGGACACAAGAAGGACAAATGGCAAAACGTGGTCTTTCAAAGGCTCATGTGGTCTGGATGGACCATCAGTTGACCCAAAAGCATATCATCTATTCTTACGACAACTAGCTTAAATTTATACATGGCTTCCATAGCTCATCCCAACCTCAGCGCCACATTACCACATTTCTTTTTTATATATATATTTGATTTCAGCTCTTCATGAGTCCAATACTGTGAGATTTTAAACTGCACAGTATTTTAGAGAAAGAGAAAAGAGAAGATGGATTGTTAGTGAAGACATGGCTGAGGTCATGATCGAGGCAGGGTGGGGAATTTTACCCTGGGGCTGACTGTCCTCAAGTGTTATCTTTGGCCCGTTAGGAAACTGGAAACTGAAGTTTCACCAGATCCTGGAGTAAATGCCCTAAAACCAGCCTCTGCTCACTGATAGCAGCCAAGGTTTGCACGGACATGTGAGGAGAGAGCAGCGAAACGCCCTCACCTTGCCAAGTCACAGGTGATCTGTTAGCCCACAGGGTAAATGTTGCTGCTCAGCAGCGTTGCACAATGTCACGAGGCAGAGTCCAAAGCCACCCGTCTAGCCTCGAAGGCGGACGTGCAGCTGGGTCTCACGCGGCACCCTTTGGTCCCACCAGCAGATGTTCCCTGCAACACTGCTGGAGCAGAGACTTCAGCCACCGAGGCCCAACCAGCCCCTCTGTTCTGGTCCCACATGCCACCAAACCAAACCTCCTGGGGGAAGGAGAGTGCCAGGGGTGCGCGGGGAGGTGCCTGCCAGTGCTTCTGGGGCAGATCCAAGCGGATCATAGATTCATAGAATCATAGAATCATTAAGGTTGGAAAGACCTCTAAGATCATTGAGTCCAACCGTTAACCCAACACCACCATGCCCACCAAACCATGTCCCTAAGCGTCTCATCTATACCTCTTTTAATATTCCCAGGGATGGTGACTCAACCTGCTTGTGGAGGAAACACAGCAATGTCCTTAGGAGAGTCACCTCCTCATCGCTTGGGCACAGAAGGAGTGGAGTGGCTATTTAGCCGTACCAGTAGGGATGCAGCTATGAGTGGATTTGTGAGAGGTCTTCCTTGGTCTGCTATGCCAAAGTCCAGCTTCCCTGTTCGCTCTGGCTGGAGGGCTCACACGTGTCTGCCGGGTCCCTGCGGGCCAGGGGCTTTGCGCCATCACCCGAAGCACCACGTGCTCTGGCAGGCACAACACATCTTCCCAATCACGAAAAGCCCGGAACGGATGAGAAACCCCAGAGCTCTGAGGCAGAGCAAATGTGGATTCCTCCCTAAAGGAATCCGTTGAAAACAAGGGAAAATGCTAGTACAAAAATACACTGAACAGCTCAGGAGAAAGTGTCCCACCTTCCCCCGTACAGCAACCATGGGGAAGGGCTATGTTCAACGACAGCAAAGGAGGCAGAGGGCCACTTCGAGTTAGCATTTGCACTTGAAAATTTTGGAGTGATTACTAAGAGCAGTCCTCCTTTTGTAAACATTTCTGTTACGCCTGCGTGGGTGTGAAGAAAAGTGCGGCTTTCAGTTCACAACGGGGCATATCATGCGTATGCTAAGAAAGCCTGGGCACAGCTCGGCTGAAACAAGTCAGCGGGGCGAGGTCTAAACTAATGCACAAACAGCTCCGTCCCATTTGTACTGCCAGGTAAACCTTGCCGAAGCGGGAAATATTGAGTATTGTAAATTATTTTGTGTCTGGTTTTACTGCCACATTTACAGTCAGTGAGAGGTATACGTGGTTCTTGTCTCCTGTGGTCTGTGATTGACTGCACCAATGGACAATGGACATTGATGCTTAATGGACAGTAAGCGGTTTTAAAAATCAGTCTAAGATTGGATACACTGTATAAAACTAAAAAAAAAAAAGAAAGAATGAAAAAAATCCCCAGTGACCCGTTCTCCCACCAATGACATTGGCTCTCCAGCCACGTGACTTCTCTTCCTTCAATGGAAATGTTCTGAAGTGTCAATGGAGAGAAGAAAAAACCTGTAAATAGCCCTCAAGAACAAGTTTTTCCACTGCTTTGGCACTGGATTATGAAGCACACAGATTTACTATAGAAAAAAAATCCATTTCCCATTTCCCAAGTTGAGCTACATGATCACAGGATCGCAGCTCCTCGGCGTACCGTCTGTAACACCCCAACGTCACACGCGTGCACGCACTTTGCACAACCACTCTCATTTAAATCCAGCCATCAGCTCTAGCACTGGCTGCTGCTCATTGTACTAGTGCTACTGCCAATACTAAAAAACAAGCTGTCTGGAGCTATCTTTGGTAAACACTTAAAGCAAATATCCTCACTTCTGATCTTAACGAAGCCAAGATGACTTTCTGCATGAGTAACTCAACTATTGTTGTAACACCACCCCCCCCAGCAAAACAACAACAACAAAAATGCAACCTCCTTCTCTTCTCTGACTGTTTCTTAGAGATCTTTAAAAGCCCAGGGCTTGATCTGGATTGCCCAGTTCAATCAATGAAGCCAGATCCAATGAAGTTACACCCCAATGTACAGAAGCATAATTGAGACCAGATTTTGGCCTGAAGAACCTCTAAAACCATTTCTCCTCCCTAAGAATCACATTTCTAAAAGAAAAAAAAAAAATAAACTGAACAAGTCAGTAGGGCAACTAAATTGTAAAGGGGGGGAAATAAAGTTAAAAGAATACTTTAATAGGAGGGACACAAGCTTTACCAAATGGAGGTTCACAATGGCAACTCGCCAATCGCCTGAAGGATGCAATCAATTTGCATAAAATACGGCAGACTGCAGCCACCCTTGTGTTCATGGCAGCAGAAATCCCAGCTCCACCACCCCATCCGCTGAGTCTTGTAGCATTTATTCCACGTTACAGTGAGCTGAAGCCATAATTCACCCTATAAGCCTATTACTTGGGCTATTTCTAAATTATCTGTTCCAGGCAACCATGTACTTTGTCTGATGCGCTCCCAGATTGACGTGCACCAGCTACGAACTGGTGTGTGCTTCAGAGTGCTGCTGGTCCCAGGTAAAACACAGCCAAGCCCTGGCAGGGCACTTACATAGCACCGGTCTAATAACAGCTACACAGTTTCTGTTTCAAACATGTCCCGCAGCTGATGGTCTCTGAGAACAGGCACTGGTCTTTGAGGCAGATGCTGCACAGCTTCACGTCCAGACCCCAGGTCAACGCTGTGATGAGCACGGCTTTCTGCCTTCTCCCTGACTCTGCAAAAGGGCAGCGTCCAGCCCATTGCTTGCAAGTTCTGAACGGGGGAATTAAGGAGGGCCCAGCTGGTACCATCCTGTCCTGGTTTCGGCTGGGGTGGAGTTGATTTTCTTCCTATTAACTGGTATAGTGCTGTGTTTTGGATGTAGTACGAGAATGTTGATAACACACTGATGTTTTAGTTGTTGCTAAGTAGTGTTTACGCTAGTCAAGGACTTTCCATCTTCCCGTGCCCTGCCAGGTGTGTGGGGGGCTGGGAGGGAGTGTGGCCGGGACGGCTGGCCCAGCTGGCCAATGGGCTATTCCATACCGCATGACGTTATGCTCAGCATATAAGGCTGGGCGAAGAAGAAGAAGGGGGGGACGTTCGGAGTGATGGCGTTTGTCTTCCCAAGTAACGTTACGCGTGATGGAGCCCTGCTTTCCTGGAGATGGCTGAACACCTGCCTACCCATG